CACTGCTTTTTGGTCTCTCATGGTTGAAAGTCCTCTCTCACGTGCCAAACGTCTTATAAATTGAGTTGGATTTTTGCGAATTGATCTCTTTAGCTCTAAGTTGAAATGATGATCCCTATTCCTGTTGTGACCTCCTGATCCAGTTTTCCTCTCTACTGTTTTCTCTTCTTTAAAAATTCTTCGTTCTCTTGATGGCTCTTGAATGGACTTTGAAGATGAAAGTCAGACTATGGATGTTGGTACCATTACTGAAGACCTGAATGATCGTTTTCCTCTCACCATTGCTCAGTTGAGAAGACAGTGGGTCTGACACAAAACAATTTTTACCTGCTCTTTTTTAGCTGAATAACTTAAAGGGTTTTTCATTGATTCTTATAGACAAATGGTGTCAAGATGGCCAAAACGTCTTATCTGAAAATATGGAAAAAAGGAACTCAATTTGTTTACTGGGTTTTTAGATATTAAACATATTGTAGGATATATAATTTTGCTGTTACACGATTTGCACAATTTTGCTTTTACACGATTTGCACAATTTTGCTGTTACACGATTTGCACAATTTTGCTGTTACACCCTGTATATTTCTGTTCCGTGATATGCGTTTAACCGCTTCTGTGGTTTCTTCTACCATCTCTAATCTGGATCCCCACAAGGCACACGGACCTGATGGTATCCCTGTAATAGTTCTCTAGAACTCGATTCTGTTATCATTAAACTGTATAATAAATATCTCGCTGCCTCTTGCTTTTCTGTTTGTTGAAAATCCTCATCTGTTGTCCCAGTTTTTAAAAACTCAGGTGAACCGTCCGCCTCTTCTAAATACCGGCCTATCAACCTTCTGCCTCTTTGAGGAAACTTCTAGAGATCATAATCACAGATAATAAAGGAAATAAGCAGACGGGACGTTACAATAGCTAAAACGTTGCCATAATTAGGAAAATAAGGAGACGGGACGTCACAACAGCTGAAACGTTGCTATAATAAGAAAAATAAGGAAAAGGGCGTCACAACAGCTGAAACGTTGCGATAATTAGGACAATAAGGAGACGGGACGTCACAACAGCCAAAACGTTGAGATAATATGTAAAATAAGGAGACGTCGTCACAACAGCTAAAACATTGTCATAACAAGAAAAATAAGGAGATGGGACGTCACAACAGACAGGAAATATGCTTTCGTATCTGGAGATCAACTACTGATGTATTGACGATAATTGCGGAAAGAGTCTATGAAGAATTATATAAGAATGGTGAGGCTTGGGATGTTGCTTTGGTCATCTCGAAACTGTTCGACATTGTTTAGTATACACAGGTCTTCTTCACAAGTTGAAAAGCTATGGTGTCTCCTGGACAAATTTTTTACCTGATCCATTCTTTCTTATAAAATCGTGAAATGAAAGTTATCCTGGATGGCCACACTTCTAGATTCCTTTGTACTAACACAGCTATACCCCAGGGGTTTATCCTTGGACCTTCTCGGCGGGAATCAGATCTCAACTGGGTTTTCTAGTATGCCCAAATCACATAGCAGTCGACCACCTTACTGCCGAAGAAAATTAGCCGAGACGCTTTTTAAATGGAGTTGAGAATCAAATGAGAATTGGACGATTTTATTGTGCCAATCTTTTAATAAAGAGAGCTCTGTATAATTATCAAATGTTATGCTATATATATATATATATATATATATATATATATATATATATATATATATATATATATATATATATGCCAAAGTTTACAATATAAAAGTAAGAAACTTACAAAAAGTGTTTTTACCATAAGAAATTTAGAGCAAACAAAAATTATTAAATTGTGGATATTTCCCCATCATTTATTAATTCAAAGGTTTGCAGTCAATAATTATTTCATTATATTTTTCAATAATTTCACTAAAAAGAAGGGCAATAAAGCCCCTAAGACGCAATATACCACGGAGTATGAGATAATATGAGACAAGAACATTACTAAAGAGAGAAAACACTAAAAGAATTATGAATGCAGAATATAACGATTGATATTACATTTACATATTTTGAAAATCAAAGCTGAGTGGGAAGTAAGAAGTGGAAATAAAGTTCCATAAGTGAGAAGTTCGAAAGAAGAAACATCTAACATAGAACTTACGGTTACCTCTAGCCATTCCAACTATTAGATGATGAGACGTTACTGCCAATTTAGTACTGCGTTTAAATTCATAATGTCTAGGTACCTTAGTGGAAAGTTCACCAACAGAATGACCAGTAAACTATTCATAAAAAAATCACAGGGTAGCTCCGTTATGACAGCGGGAAAGTAATTGAATCCGAGATGTCAGGCCAAGACCAATAACATTGCAGATTCTTTGGATGTTATATATAGCAGGAGCACCAGACCAGCAGCAATATTCAAAACATGGGCGAATGGTAGACTAAAAATAGGTTCTGGTGAGTAAGATTGTCTAACACGGGCTAGTGAACCAATTTTCCTATCTGCAGTCCTAGCAAATGTATCAACTTCAGGTAAGCAGAAAACATTAGTCTGATAAAACGCAATGATTCCCTTTCCTGGAGGTTAGCATCAGTCATGCTGGCGGAAGGCAAAATGGTTCTCTGAGACGATTAAAAGACTGCAGTTTCGGAGGCATTAAAATTTACATATGCAAGCATTCACATCATTGTGAAAGTCATTCACGTGATTATTAGAAAAGAGAAAGTAAAATTATACCCCCACCACTCTTCAATCTACTTAATAATAACCAATTTAATATTAGCACTTCAGTATATCTGACGTACAGCCAGCCAACCATCTAGTGACCAGCAAGGCGGCACCTCAAAAGAAAATTATTGGCATTATCTTATTACATTAAGCAATAATTAATACCATTTACAAGATGCATCTAAGATCTATGTGAAATATCAATCTACTTAGCATTGAATGCTGGATAATTTCCTCGCAGATTACTTGAGGCTACAAAGATGTCGTTCTACAGAAAGATACTGAGTATAACATGGACAAAGCATGTGAGCAACAAGGGGAGTTTGAAGGCAAAGAAAAAAATACTTATGAGGGACAGTGGTAGATAGCAACTAACCGACCTAACGAGTTTCTGCAAATGAATGACAAAATAGACGGGAGATAACAAAGACACAAATACTGGTGAGAGCTAAAAAGATAAGGGAGTTGTGGAGAACCATTATCGGCCACATCCAAAAGAGGAAACGGCACAGAGAAGCAGTTTAAAATAGAGATGGGGGACGTTGGTCAAAATCGGATTATTTCTTCAGTCTCTCTACTAAATTGGAAAAATAATTTCTAACAAAAATCATTCAAAGATAGCTTGATTGGCAATAAGATTTCGTTAAAAGTATGTGGTATTTATATGCGATTGTTGAAAAGTTATCATAATAAGGGGGAGGGAGGGAGGAATGGAGAGGGGGGAGAGGGAAGGGGAGAGGAGGAGGAGGGAGAGAGAGGAGGAGGAGGGAGAGAGGAGGAGGAGGAGAGAGAGGAGGGAGAGAGAGGGATGGAGGAAGAGAGAGGGTGAGGGGAGACAGAGAGAGAAGGTGGGAGAGGGGGGGGAGGAAGAGATGGGGAGGAAGAGAGGGGGAGGGAGAGGGGAGGGAGGAAGAGAGGGGAGGGAGAGGGGAGGAGAGGGGGGAGAGGGGGGGAAAGAGGGGATGGAGGAAGAGAGGGTGAGGGAGAAAGAGAGAGGGTGGGGAGAGAGGGGAGGAGGGAAGAGAGAGGGGAGGAGGGTGGTAGAAAGAGAGAGAGGGTGGGAGAGAGGGGAGGGAGGAAGAGAGAGTGAAGGAGGAAGGTAGAAAGAGAGAGGGAGAGATAGAGAGAGAGAGAGAGAGGGGAGAGAATCGTAGATAGATTATTTAACAGAAGTTTCGCCATTTGCTTTTTTTAGTAAAAACAAATGTAGCGTACAATGCGACACTGTTGAATGCTAGTTGAATGATTTTCGCCACGCCATGTATTTAAAGGAAATCAAAATGACAACCACGGAAGTGTGCTTCACATTAAAAACACTTTACTTGCTTTTCTTTGAGATGAACTCGTCTTAGGCACGGTGTTTTTAATTCTGTCACACTTGGAACTTGCTAAATTTAGTGCGTCGATACAAAAGAATTATTGTCATTTCTCATGGGGAAGTAACTCTTCATTACTTCGTTGTAAAATGTCAAATTCAGATTTTTTTTTCATAGTACTGATCAGATGAAAGGAGGAACAAGACAAGAAAGCTAAATCTCTCTCACTCACTTACTTTCTCTGTCTTTCACTCTCCCTTTCTCTCTCTCACTTTCTCTCTCTCTCGCTCTCTTTCACTCTCCACATCTTCCTCACCTTCTCTTTCTTTTTCGTTCTCTCTCTCGCTTTTCCTCTTTTACTCTCTTTCGCTCTCTCTCTCCCTCTCTGTCTCATTCACTTTTCTCTCAATTTCCCCATCTCTCCCACACTCACTTTATCTCTCTTTTGCTCTCTCTTTCTCTCTCCCTATCTTTCTCATATTTTTTCTCTCTCTCTTTCGCTCTCTATTTCTCTATTCATCTCTCTCTCACACGCACTCACTTTCTCTCTCTCTTTCGCTCTCTCTTTCTCCCATCTCTTTTTTGGCTCACATTCTCTCTCTTTTTCCTCCCTCTCTGTCTCACTCACTTTCTCTCTCTCTCTTTTGCTCTCTCTTTCTCTCTCTCCATCACTCTCTTCCTTTATTTCACTCTCTCCCTTTCGCTCTCTCTGTCTCTGTCCCTCTTCTCTTTCGCGCGCTTCGCACACATATATAAATGAAAAAAAAAAACCCTCAAAAAACAAAAAAAAAAGACATGAGGAAAACCTTTTATACGAATTTTCCCAAAGAATGTTTATTCATACACATATCGATTGATTTGTTTTGTTTTATACAGCTCATCAACCTTTTGCTGGTTATTTAAAGCCAGAAATTATGTTTAAACTGTGAGAATTATTTGGTAGATAATCATTTTATCAGATGCAAATGCTAATAATCAAACTATAGCTTACAGCCTCTGGTATTCCAAAGCGGTTGCCCAGCTAAGTACTGACCAAGCTCGACTTTTCTTAACTTCAGTGATCTCACGAGAACTGGTGTTTTAATGTAATATGGCGATATACACAGAAATAACCTGGAGAAGAAAAATAAGGTTAAGTATTCAAATCTCAAATTAGAGAACGCTCTAAAATATACTGTGTTAAAGAAAGGAAAACTATGGAAGACGTTATTCTTTCGGCTTTTTAAACAAAAACAATTTAATATTGTAAAACTCGAGTCATGTTCTCGAATAGTCTCGTCATATCGAGACTTTCATATGGATGTCATACATGGCACCAAACCCGTTCAAAAATATATAAACTGTCAACTGTATAAAACCCCTTTTACAGAACAATAGTTAAAAATAGCTTTGAGTGAGAAAAGTCTGTGTGTCTCGGCGAAGAGCACAATTCTTCGAATCTTGTGGACTGGCGCTACAGAATCACAAACAAAAAACTGTATCAAATGACAGAAACAAAATCACTTCAGGACTTTCAAAAGTAGCAACAGCTAAAATGGATAACACGTTTAACTAGAAGATAATATTATGAAATAACTGAGCTGATGACATTTTACACTTGTTCAAATAAAATATTAAGATGAAAACTCCCATCAGTCCTTGAAAGAGCGATAACAACTGCTGGACTTCAGAAATCTTTTATCCTGAAAAATTTTTGAAGAGAAAAATATAATTTTCAACCGAACATAGTACAAGCTTATTGGTCAATAAATACTAAATCTTGCATCTCGCCTACAGTCACATTTATGGCAAATGCTCTGGCGAGATACTTTCACTGGTACTACAACTGCATGAATTTAAGCTTATTACTGGGTTGGCATCTCGGTCCCATCCTTTAATTGCCAAAACAGTGAAATCTAATCGCCTCTTCTACTCCAACAGCTTCTTCTCTTTTCACTCTAAATTAGTAAATACTAAACAGTTCATGTACATAGGTGTATAGAAAAGTTATAATAAATTTATTATAGAAGATAAGAAAACTGAACTATATTAGATATAGTTTCTCTCAACACCGCAAATTGCTACAAAACCAAAACACGGACCTGAAGAGTCATGTTTGTCTATATTTCTGAGATGAGGTATTATGTACATTATTTACATTATTCGGACTATTGTCCTCATCTTTGTCGCCATATTTATGACAACGTTTCGGCCTTCTTCAGGTGGTTGGAATGTTGAATTGAACCCTTTATTTCGCTCACTGGGGTAGACTCTTCTAGTTCCACGTGTCATGTTTTAATGGATGTCAGTTATCAGTTATCTCCTGTTAATTTCTCTGTGAAAGTTCTCCACTGCCTTAACCGGGTATTGAACTCACACTCTTTGGGTCCTGTCACTGGATCTAACCAACGCCTTTATCCACTGTGCCATGTGTCCCTGGGTATTGTAAACCTAATGTCTCAGCAACCATTTTACCAGTGCTCATATTGCAATTTTTTGCTGTTATCACTGCATATTTTTTTTTTTACCAGAGCTCATATTGCAACTTCTGTTCTTATCATTGCTTTTCTCTGGCACTCCTTATTACTGGTTCCCATATTGTATTCATTTCTATGCTTGGTCGGCTCAGGAGATTTTTGTGGCCTAGCATGAGACATGTTCTTAAATAGCCTCTTTAGATCGAGACTTTCATATCGATATAATTCATGGCGCCAAACCCGTTTAGAAGTATCGAAAGAAATCTGTATAAAACCCATTTTCAGAATAATAATTAGAAATAGCTTTCAGTGAGGAAAGTCTATGAGTTTCGGCGAATCTTGTGGACTAGAGCTACAGACTCTCAAAAAAAAAAACTGTATCAAATAACTGTATCAACTCCTTTCCGCTTACTTACTTCCCTGATAGCTATAATATTCAAACATTCAAGTGTAATGTCAATCGACATCTTCTGATGCCTTGATACTGATCTCCGTCCTTCTCTATATCCTTTCCTCAAACGCCCCTCTTTACTCTTACTATCACTCTCTATAACCTCTTGCGTGCTAGTGGCACTCCAGTTTTGCTTGGGGTGAAATGCTTAAATGTTTTTTTCTTATAAAGAAGCGGCTAAAATTAACATAGCTATTATTTAAACGAGCTGGATTCATATTCCCTTCGCCCTGTTTACTGATATCGAGTGTAGTTCTTCTGTTTGTAATTTTCACTAGGACAGGTTGATCTGTCGCGATTTTTAGATCATTATCGTTGCAGTCGAACGCTAGAGTTTGACGGGAAGAATACTGACACCAAAAATTAGATTGATAGCTTGTAGCAATTTTTGAGCATTTAGTTTTAGTATCCCGTGAAAAACGTACAGAAATAAATAATTTCCGCACGTTTTGCTTACAAACACACTTCAAATTTTACTATTTTAAGAATAAATCCAAATAAAGTTATTTTTATATTAGGTATACCGAATAGAAAATATATTCAAACCAGAATTATACTTGGAAATATCCACAAGCAAAAATGCAATTTTTTACTATATTGGATAAAGTTTTTACCTCTGAAAAAATTGTAAAAGATGACGAAAATCGCTAATCAATGAAAAGATTTTACTCCATTTATTAGATGATAATTGATAAAAACAAAAATAGCTAAAAGTGTATATAACACCATATTACTACTGGGCACAAATTATAGCGTAAAAAAATGTTTATTGAAAATCATACTAAAACTAATACACAATATAACCCTTTACATCATAATATAGGTAAATTGTTCAGGATAATTTTCCGTCGAAGTAAATAGAGGTGTAGTTTGAGTGTGTTAAATTAGGAACACGTGCTGTTTATTCTTGTTAGAAGGTCCAACTACAAGAAAATGACGGTCTCAAGTTGAGTCCAACCGAAGATGTAAAGAAAACAAACACAACCGATATATATGTTAACAAATATATGTATTAAACAACAAATTTACAAGTGACAAAGACATCAGCATTTGTGTTTGTGTGTAAATGTAAAGAGTTTGTATTTTGGTGAATGTTCGTATGTATGTGTATGTGTGTTTCATGGCGTTTTCCCATTAGTGGGCAAAAAACGCTGATCTCCGTGAGAGATTACATTTTTAAATGTGTCCGCTGAAATGCAAATTAGAAAAGAAACCGAGGCAAAAAGTCGCCCAGTATTTATAATGTAGAGAGAACGACCCTGGTGAACAATTAGGGAATTAAGGAGGAGTTAACCGACCATGTAAAGGTATTATTTAATGGTCTAACGTGTATTTGATAATTGAGCTACCCCCCTTCAACGACACACACATGAACGAGGGACAAGGAGAATTTTTAAATTAAAATTTGGTGGGGGGTTATATAATCGACGATTTCATTTATATTCTTTTCCTTTTCTTTTGTTTAATCACCTTTAATATCCTACCTGTGATAACAGAAGATCTCTCTGGAATGGTGAAATTTTTGTAGATCCAGAACGAATTTTACTGTGGAACATTTTTTTCCTTAGTGAAGTGTTCTCTCTTTTGACCATGTATAAGTATGTGGTCTATTTCGGCATAAATTTTCTATATTGAAGTTTAAAATGTCTTTTTTACAACGAAAAAACATTCTTGAAGATTTCTTTTTAGCTTTAATTGAAAGTTTAATAATTAAATTTACGATTTCTATTAATTAATCAATTCTGGTGTATTTCAGATAGAAACTATATACATTTGATTGTCAAATTTAATTTCAAATTTTTAAATTTTCTTAAAAACGGCCATTTTCTTAATTTTAAGAAATTTGTAAACAAACACAAATTTATCGATTTTTAAAATATTTTAAAAAAATTCTGACACGTTATTTTAGTAAAATTTAAAAATTTAAAGTTAAAGTAATCTAATTTGAAAGAAATATTACTTACTTATAGCATAAAAAAAATAATATACAACCAATTATTAACGATGGGTACTGTTCATCCGATGCAACTATTGATGGATTGTTGATGACAAAGCGATGACAGCTACTACGGATGACCATAAATGACCTAATTTTTAAAAATCTGATTTAACGGTTTTTTTAGTTACCTAGTAATTGTTAGAAATGAACATATTTTTCGCAATTTTTATTGACTTTTATTTACCTTTCGAATATGCAAAATTAAAAAAAAATAAATACCATGATAGAAAATTTAATAATTTACTAAATGGTAATTTAATTATTATTTAATAAATCAAAATTAAATGTGACTTTACAATCCAATGTATACAGTTTATGTCTGATATACACCAGAATTTTTACTTAATGGAAATAATAAAATTTAATCATTAAGCTTTTAATTAATTCTAAATTTATGCTGAAATAGTAGAGGTACCTAACTAATTTATATTTTTTTATATATTTTTCATTTTATTTCTAATTATTGTTATGATAATAATTTTATTATTGAATTTTATTATTACTTACAAATTTACTAAAACTTTTATTAACCCAATAAACATTACTGAAAAGAAATTGCTACTATGTGTAACAAGGAAAGGACTTTCGGGAATATTTTGTGGCCCTGAAAAGGGCCTTTTTTTCTTTTTTTTGTTGTTTTTCTTCTGCTGCCTCTTCAATCATCTTTGCTGGGCTGATCGAAATGCAAGTCCTGCAGGAGATAGTCAGCGCCAATTTCACATTTGTCAAGTTGACAATAGTCAGCTTCATCATTGAGATATGAAATCATATAAAAAGGATTTGCATAACTAATGATGTAGCCAACATATTGACGGTTTACACCATCAACTGTCCAAATGTGTTTGATTGTCCTACCGACTATCTCCCCAGTGAGTATTTCATGCAGGACTTCAGCTACTCCTGGTTGATACTCATTCAGCAAAGTACTTATGGATGCATTTTGTAGTCTTTTCAAAGACTTCTGAATCTTAACTCTCCTCCTCCTTTCATTCTGGATTGCCCTATCTTTGCTTTTCTTATTAACTTTCTCATCAACCATTTGCTGCTGTGTTTTCTTCAATGTTGTATAGTGTCTGCTGTGAACCATTGCCATCTGGAGGTATTTTTGGAATTGCTCAGCATCCAGATCATTGATGAATTTTCTTACTTGATTCCGCTTGGCCTTGATGACATCACTTAT